TGGGGCCGTTTCCAGCGCCTGGTTTTTTTCCTCCTCAGCACCAGCATCGTCCCCAACGGCTTTAACGGGATGTCGGCCGTTTTCCTGGCCGGTACCCCCGAGCACCGCTGCGCCGTGCCCCGCGGGGCCAACCTGAGCGGCGAGTGGCGCAACGCCAGCATCCCGCTGGAGCTGCGGGGCGGGCGGGAGGCGCCGAGCCGCTGCCGCCGGTACCGCCTGGCCGCCCTGGCCAATTTCTCGGCGCTGGGGCTGCGGCCCGGCTTGGACGTGGAGCTGGAGTCGCTGGAGCAGGAGCCGTGCCTGGACGGGTGGGAGTACAGCCGAGACATCTACCGCTCCACCATCGTCACCCAGGTAAGGGGCGGCGGGGGGTGGTCGGGGGAAGGGGTGCTGCCCCTCTACTCTGGGGAGATCCCCCTCCAGTGCTGCCGCCAGCTCTGGGGACATCAGAAGGACACGGACTCCTTGGAGGGGGACCAGAGGAGGCCCCAGAGATGCTGGGAGGGCTGGAGCCCCTCTGCTGGGAGGGGGGGCTGAGAGAGTTGGGGGGGTTCAGCCTGGAGAAGAGAAGGCTCCGGGGAGACCTTGGAGCCCCTTCCAGTCCCTCAAGGGGCTCCAGGAGAGATGGGGAGGGACTCTGGATGAGGGAGGGGAGCCCTAGGAGGAGGGGGAAGGGTTTGACCCTGCAAGAGGGGAGATGGAGCTGAGCTGTGGGGAAGAACTTGTTTGGTGTGAGGGTGGTGAGAGCCTGGCCCGGGTTGGCCAGAGAAGCTGTGGCTGCCCCATCCCTGGAGGGGTTGAAGGGCAGGTTGGAGGGGGCTTGGAGCAACCTGGGCTGGTGGGAGGTGTCCCTGCCCAGGGCAGGGGGTGGCACTGGGGGGGCTTTAAAGGTCCCTTCCCACCCAAACCATTCTATGATTCCATGATTCTAAGTTTAGGGTTATTGCAGCTTTGCCATGTCTTACAGCCCCTGCCTGGGCATCACTCTGCTGTTAAATCTGCCACGCTAAATTTATTTTGAGACCTTTTGTTCTATTTCAGTTGCAAAAGTAATCTCCAAACACAGTGCCTTTCCTGAGCTAGCGCCGCACACGTACAGTAACTGCTTAATGGGTTTCATCTGGTATCACAAGTGCCTTGAAGCAAGGGTCAGCCAGGGACAATGGGTTCAGCTCGCCCAGTGGTTCAGAGATGTTTCTTTGAACTCGGGAGATCAAAAGGATTTGTTTTTTCTTTCTCTTATTTAAAAAAAAAAAAAAAAAAAGCAGGTGAAGTCACACTGAGTTGTGCAAGGTGCAGCCGTCAGGGAGCCCTGGTTTGATGCTGTGTCTAAGGGGACCCTGAACTTTGCCGTGTCCCCACGATGCCTCTGCTTTGGTCATGACCACTGCTTTGGTCTCCCCTCTCACCTGCTGGGGCAGGTCAGGTTCTCGTCTGCTCAAATCCATCCCTCAAGTCAAGTCTGTGGTCAGGGCAGCCAAAGGAAGGTGAAGCTGTGCTGATTGTCCCTCTTGTTTCAGGTGGTAACTGCAGACTCACAGGTGCTGTTTCACTTAACATACAAGGAAATGTATTTTGAGGAATGCTTGTATTTCAAAGCCTGTATGAGTCTTTTTCAGCATGCCTACAAACCATTTCTACAGTCCCATTGCATGATTGTGCCCGTGGACAGGTTTTACAGAGGTAGAACTCATATTTGGCTTTATTCCTTGTTTTGCAAAGCGGGTTGTGATGGGTGTTTGGATAGTGATGGGTGTGAGTACTTCATGACCATAAGCTAATCTAAGCACAGAAATCCTCCTCGGGAGGCCGGGGGTGAGGAAGGGAGTGTGGGAGGGGACCCAGGCCAGCATGGGGGGGCATGGAAATGGTGACATGGCCTTGTTGGAAGCTTCCCTTGAACAGGCAGAGCAGTGGGGCCGTGAGTGATTCTGACAAGTGGCACAAGGCATTGCCTCACCTACTTCTGAAGAGCTGCCGCCTTCCTGGAGAGGAAAGCTGCTCTGAATTTCCAGAGCCTGGTTGTTGCTGAAACGTGCTGTTGGGAAAGGCTGAGCCACTCTCAGGGCAGCGTAAAGCCATTGGCATCTTCTCGGGTGAACGTACGGGTTTTGTTCCTTCATATAATGGTCGAACTGGCTCAGACGTGGTTTCAGCCAGTCCTTTGTCTCTGGATCTTTTTCACCGACATTTGTCTTGGTGCAAATTAAAATGCCTTGAGCTACCAGAGTATCATCGAGGAGATTTATGATCTTTAAGAACCAGGAGCTGTGAACGTTTTGCTGGGACTCGGCAGCAGCGCTGGCCTGTTGTCTGTATGCTTTGGCAGATGTTTTGTGTCTGTGGGAGGTAATGTTTGTATCATCATGCACCGAGGCACTATTTTAATATTTTTTTTTCTCCTTTAATATTAATGTTTCTGAGCCAGTTTTGCAAGAGCCTGTGGCCTTTCACATACTTGCAGGTTTTCAGTGTTAACCTGGTTTAATTTCTTGGCTTGGCGCTGCTGCTTTTATGATTCACTAATCTTGTGTTTGGTTGCATATCTCTAACTTGTTGAATAGTCATGAGGACCTTTGTCCCAGATTTCCGTAGCCGCACTGGGAGGGGGAAGGGGGGATTCTTTTTTTTTTCTTTCTTTTTTTTTTTTCAGTAGCCGCACTGGGAGGGGGAAGGGGGGGATTCTTTTTTTTTCTTTTTTTTTTTTTTTTTTTTTTAAAAGAAAGCATTTTGCTGAATCTCTCATGACTCTACAGAAAGTCCTCGGTTACGGTTCTGCTTTTCAGGGGAGACTTAAAACATTCAGTTCCCTCTCATTTGAAGGGAGACTTCCTTTTCTCACACAGACTAACAACAGCCGGTTGTTATTAGCCAGTCCGCAGTATTTAACCAGCTCCCGTGTGACAGAATCCCTTTCTGGCTTTTACTTTTCTGAAATGCTGTAGCTCAGGGAATAAGAAAAGCTTTGCTTTGGCTCAAGAAGCCGTCTGTGTCATTCCTTTCCTCTGTAAGTCCTATAAAAAGAAGAATGTAGGAGCAATAAAAGTTGATGTGTGGTAGTAAAAGGAATAAAACCAGAGGTAATGAAGGGAAAAGGCTAACTTCTGCCAGTCGTATCTGTTATGGGGCTATACTGAATAACTGGGAATAGAATTGAGCAGTGGAGTTATTAAGAGCATGAAATGCGATATAATAAGTAGATGTTAGGTGATACAGCATTTAAAACTTTCTAGTCCATAGAGGAGTAATTCTTAGGCACCGAAACATAAGTAGACACTGAATTTTGTATTCGCATGTTCATCCTCAACTTGTAAAAATGCGTTGCATTGTTCAGGCGTTTTACATCAGTTCAGTGCAGGTGTGCTCCAGAGCTGTGCGTTTTATGCCTCTTGTGCTCTTAACAACCCTCAGGGACTGTTTGGCTTTTGTGGAGGAAGGATGCACGTGGTGGGAATTGCAGAGTGTGCCGAGACTTGGCACAGGGCTGGGGCTCTGTCCTGGATGATGTGCAGGGAGAGAAAGTTCTGGGCCAATATTAGTGCCCTGTGGCTTCCAGTCCCTTTACACCAGGGATTCAAGTGTCCCGCTGGGCTCTCAGACCCCTGGTCCTGAGGGGAGGTTTAGGATAGGATGGATATTAGGAAACATTTCTTCACCAAAGGGGTTATGAAGCATTGGAACAGGCTGCCCAGGAAAGTGATGGAATCACCATCCTTGGTGGCGTTTAAAAAATGGGTAGATGTGGTGGTTTTGTCAGTGTTGGGTTGATGGTTGGACTCAATGACCTTATAGGTCTTTTCCAACCCAGACAATTCTATGAGTCTATCAGTGGGTTACGCCAGACCTTCAGGAAACAAGTGGAGACTGCAGTGGTGACATTTGGAATGACCCAAATGAGCATTGTCATTTCCACAGGCTTTTTTCTAAGAGCAGAGCCAGCAGCTGCAGCGCAAATCAAGTCATTGTCACCCGCGTCCAGCTCTCGATCTCTTTGTTCGTGTCGGTGCAGTGGCCTCACAGTCGAGAAGTCACCTCTGTGATTTTTCATCCTTTAAAATCACTGCATCCTCTTTCTTGCTGTAGGTTACCCTCTGCTTATTTTTCCAGCTGAAGTTCATATTGACAGCTTCTCAGCCCCAGGAGCTGAAAAGAAAGATATAGAAAGACCTTCAGTTGATTTGAAGATATAAAATCTTAGTATTAATAGTCTTGTCCAAAGAAGGGAAAAAGGTCTAGTTTTCATTTAATAAGTAAATATGAATGGCTGAAGGTTCTGAAAACCTCAGCATTCTGAAATGCTGAGGGTTTCAAGGTGTGATTGAAGAAGCACATAATGCAGGACTCTTCAGAATTGTACCAATACAGGTATTTCTGACCTAGCAACATAAAACAGGTTTATTATTATTAAAGAATGATAGGCCTGCAGTTAATATTGTCAAAATAGAAACAATGCTGTTTTAGAGGTATGGTGGGCAATTAGGGTAATGATCCCATTATCCTGTCTTTTAGGTTAAAACTCAGCTCATGTTGCTCAGTTTCTGACGTCAGTGCCCTGTCTCCTTTTTCTCCAGCCGTCTCAAAGATGTGATGTATCGGCAAGAGTTAAGTCTCTGCACTGGAATTATTAAATATTTGGCATTTCCCTTCCTGTTCTGTGCAAGTTTTACCTCTGTAAGCATTTAAAACAATTACAAGGGGAGAAATTGAGCAGAATGTATATTTTGTAGCTACGGACTTTATGTTTAGATAATAAGCTTTAATGTAACATCTAGAGCTTCTAATTATTTGAAATATACAAATGTATTTTCAGTGGAAGTGGTGTTTACTAATACTCGTAGCTTTCAAGTAAGCAGAGAATATTTATTTGGGTATATGTGAGACCGCGAGATCTTTTGAAGAACCTGCCTCTCCTTGCAGAGAGAAGCAAGTGATAGGAGAAGGCACAGGATATTGGATTAGCTTCAAAAATTCTTGCGAACACGTTGATTTTAAAAAGAAAATATTATCGCATGGGACTATCCCACTTCATTTTTCAGTTGTGTGTATTTTTCTTAGCAAGAGAAGAAAGCAGTTTCTTTAAAAAAAATGAGATAACAGGAGTGGGAGGGCATGATATATTATAGCTGTAAAAATTCCTTTTCCTGTAAGACTCTTCGTTGTGTCACAGGGGCGTAACTGAGTAAGGCTCTGGAGGTGTTTAGTGTTTGTTGTAGTTGGTGGTTGTTTCGGGTTCTAGTAATGGCATTAGGGAAGCAGGAGTGCTCCTGCGGTGGAACATCCTTTTCTCAAGTGAGTTCCTAAATTACATTGTTGGTGGGGCCTTGCAACTACTCCTGTAACTTCCCAAACGTATTTGGTGTTGGATATATTTGTTTGCTCTGACGTATCGCAAGAACTTTTGAGGTGTTGAAGAGCTCCCCTGTAATTTGCTTTGCAATTTCCATGTTGTGATGCATTAAAATTATTGGGCAAACGTTATGCTCAAATAAGATAGGTGTCTCGTTATTAGCAGCTAGAATTTTGTTATCCCCAGTTATACCATGATGACAAAACAGCAGTGGAAGTGAAGCGGGATGAGGGGTCTGGAGGAGAGCCACTGCAGGATTTACTGTTAATTATTCATGAAGCACCAGCTCTCCTTTCGAGGCAGGCGGTGCTCTGCGAGGGCAGTGGATGCAGAGCCTCTACGTGGAAATTAGACTTTAAACCTTAAAGTTTTGAAGCGCCTGGAGAGCTTAGAGGAATGATGTTTTTCACTTGGGGTATGGCATTATCTTCAGCTGGGCTCGTGGCACCCCCTCTGCCTAAACTTCCCTTCCAGTTTCCGTTTGATACCGTAATTTTGTGCTTTGAATGTTGTTCCGTGCTTTGCAGTTTAAAGAATTCCTATGTTTCATCTTGGGTCTGAATTTCATTGTGATTTTGGCTTGTGTGAAAATTGTGGGCTAGTTTTCATGTTGGATAGAGGTGTTATATTAAAAGTTCGGTTTGATATTGGGAAGCTGTAAGACAGAGTGCAGGAATTACCAGTCTGTCCAGCCTGACGCTTGCCCTGACACTGAGCAGGTCCTTCTCCCTGTGCTGCTCACCCTAATTCTAGCTAAACCTGCAGTGATGCTTCTTATTGGGGTTGTGTTGAGATAAAAGGCTGAAAGTTAATAAAATGTGGCTGGGGAGGAAGGAGGTCTGAGGGAGTAGTTGTCGGTTTTTTGTTCTTCTCAGTTTTGTATCTGGGTTTGCCTTATAGTAGCAAGAGGTTTGGGGTTGTGGTTCCAGGTACCTGGCTTACAGGTAGCTCTTACAGGGCAGAATCACAGAATGCTATGGAGTTGGAAGGGACCTCTGGAGATCATCTAGGCCAACCCCCTGCCAGAGCAGGGCACCCAGAGCAGGTCTCACAGGAACGTGTCCAGGCGGGTTTGAATGTCTCCAGAGAAGGAGACTCCACCACCTCCCTGGGCAGCCTCTGCCAGGGCTCTGCCACCCTCACAGGAAAGAAGTTCCTCCTCATGTTTAGGTGGAACTTCTTATGTTGAAGTTTGTGCCCATTTCCCTCTTGTCCTGTCCCTGGGCACCACTGAAAAAAGACTGGCCCCATCCTCCTGACACCCACAGTTCTCTAGGTGAGGCCTCACCAGGTCAGAGTAGAGGGGAAGAGATGAAGCAGAACTTGGGACGTGCTCTCCTAAAGAGTGATGACTGTAAAGACCTAGGACTGTTTCTTGCTCTGGCCCCAAACCTGTGCTTAAGAAGCAACTGTTTCAGTCCCTTTCCCTTGTGGTGCCCTTCTGTCTTCTCTCTCAAGCTGTCCACATCTTCTGGCCATCTTCATAGCCTGTCCTTCTCTCCCCATCCCCTCTTCCCACCTGTCCTCACCAGCAGCTGGTGTCAGACAGGAATTCTTCATGGAAGTGTGGATCTCATCTTGGCGCTGACACACAAGCAATTATTGCTGTTGGGTGTGAGGCTGCTGATGAGGACATCACCTTGACCTGATGAATTGTTCAGGAAGTAGCTACAACCCAAAGTCTCCAAGCTGCTTGAGTAAGGAGATAAACTGCAACAGAAGGATGTCTTCTTCTAAAGCTGTAACAAAACCCAGCAAGAATGCTCTGTGCTGTGCTCGAGTGTTGGGTACCAGTGCTTAGGAGCTCGATGCTTCACAACATCAGCAGCTGCTGTAGGAAACAAAGTTGGAAGGTTTTTCTCCTGTTTGGAGCCCAAATCAATACTTCGCTGAGGTTAATCTTATCTCACTGGGCCAAAGGCCACTGGAGCTGGCAGGCGAACTCAAAGGATACCAAGAAGTGAAAATAGCACATGATTTTAGAGCACTGGGTCAGGGCATGCTGTGTCCAGACAGCACTGCCAGCAGCAGGATTCAATCAGTAACTACTCCTGGCGCTTCGCAGTGCTGGGCTTCCAACGGTGACGCTTCGGTGGCTTCTTCTTGGGCAACCTACAGTTGAGGGGTGGAGGGGAGTGTGGTTGCAGAATGGTTCTGGAAGAGCAATAGCACCATCACTCACAAGCACTATAGGAGACCAGGTTGGTGAGTCATTAAAAAGTTGACGACTTAAACATTCATTTATTGAGGCAAGGAGTAAGCAACCTGAAAGTCCCTTTGTTCGGATTGTCATCCATCTGTGGAGTCTGCAAATAACTGGTATTGCACAACCGAGGTAGTTTTCCCTTGGAAACTTGATATTGAAGTTCACTTTGGTGCCTGGTTCAAGTGATTTTCAGCATAACAGCTCCTGATGTTGCTTTATTAAAAAGTGAACAGAAAAACAAGCTGGTAATCATTGCCACCTTTTAAGGACAGATATTTTTCCACCTGCCAACGCAAGAAGCTTTTGGCAGAACAGCACAAAACATGTTAATGCCACAAACTTTTCCAAGTAATGGTTGTACCTCAGTGGTCGGAAGAAAATGTTTGTTTCTGGGCATAACGAGCCAATGTTTGGAAATCCACATGTTGCACAGCCTTGTGCCAAAGTACAGCGTGAGGTGGCTGAGAGGGGACAGTTAATTGGCTAACGAGGTGATCGGCTGGAAAACAAGGGGCTATGAATCACCGAGCTGGATATTTGGTTAGTTGGGTTTTTGGTTCTGTTATTGAAAATGTCTGGTGCTGGTGGTTGGTACAAAGATGATTCTTTGTGAGTGGGCAAGTCTTTATTAATGCGGGATTTGTACTGGGAGTGGTATTGGTTTTCCTGATGTCATCGTCTGAAGCATATCATAAGCTCTCAAACCCCTGGCCTATATAAATTGGATAACCATCATTTGCTGTGTATTTCCAAGGTGACAGATAGGTTTTGCAGCAGATTTCTGGCTGGGCTAGCCTCTGTGGTTGTCACAGAATTGCTCAAGCTTTCCTTAACCTATAATGAAGTACAGCTTTTGTGGAATAAATATAAATTGGATTAAAAATGTTAATTGCAGTTCTTAATCCAGATGATATTGATAACTGCGATAAATTAAATCCTTTAAAGGAGTGCTATAAACTTGTTAGCACATTAGAAAGCCATGATTCTGAAACCTGCATCCGTAATGATGCATAATTCATGGCATAGGTAGGATTTATTGGTGGTATGAGGCTGGAGAGGTTTGGGGAATAAGTGCAAGAATAACACTGAGGACTATGAAATCTGATACAAGGAGAGGTGCTTCAGACACAAATTAAGGGTTAACAAAGAGAGGTTAAGAAATGACTTGAATACAGTTAGAAATTGGAAAAAGGTGTGTTTTGTTTGCTCCCATGACCTTCAAAAAATAATAATGGTGAGATGAATTCCTAAGACAGTCTGAGGGTTGGCAGCTAAAGTTATACAAACACCGGTGAGAGTGCAGCCTGGATGAATGAGCATCATTCACCTCCAGAAAAACTTCCAGTTCTAACTCAAAACTGGATGCTCTTCCATCAAACAAGTGGGGCTTCAGTTGGGTTTTGCCACAGGGACCTGGCAGTGGAAGCCCCTCGCCGGTGTTGCTCATTCAGTGCAGGGTTTTTAGTGATCCCTGACCTTAAAACACACACTGGGGTGTAGTTGTGGCCTGAACCGTTAATGGACTGGGGGGAAAAAAGGCTTAATTTTAACTTACGGGGGCAGCGATGGCAGACAAAGGCAAATGCTGGTGTCCCCACATGTGGGACCACGGATGGGGTTGGATGGTGGAGCTGGGACACACTTATGGGGTGTTCCAGTACAGATTTAAAAAAAAAACAACAACTAAGAGTAAAACACATTATACTTAATTATTTGCAATTAGGGAGCAAGGGGGATTAATTATTGGGGTCAGGGCAAATATTTTCATTTCGACTTTTTTAATAGTGATTAAAACCTAAAGTTTCCATCCCTAAAACATCAGGAGGGGCCCTCTGGGAGCTGTTGGAATAACTAAGCTCAGGAGGTTTTGGCCTCACATGAGAAGAATTGGTTGCCTCCAAATTCCTCTCCTGTGGGGCTGCGGCACCTCCTGCCCTCCGCCAGCAGGCTGTGGGTGAGCCTGGCAGGATGGGCTGGGCTTTGTCCTTTCTTCTAATATTTATGTACTTTTATTCCCCCAGATAACCAAACAAAATTAAGACTCTTTCAGTAATAGCTGTTGGTATAGATACAAAAATAACAAGAGTGCTGTTTATAAAATATCAGACTGAAGCGGGTAGGAGATTGGAAACTGTTGCTGTTCTTCTTTTTTGTTTTCCTTTTGGAAATCTTTATTTGTTTGGTGTGTATTTCACTTTGTATTCCAAAGATTATAATTGATGTTAGGTGGGCTCCTAGTGAGCAGTCTCCATTCTCTTAAAATCATATTAAAATGTAATAAAGGAGGAGGTTGGGTTTCCTTCTATGTTCTTGCTTCAATTTCTTTTAAATTAGAAATGTGAATTTTTAATGGCGAACTTACCCATATGCAGGGAAATCCGGGTTGGGGTCTATTCTCACTCCTTCCAAACCCAGCAGAACTGCAGCAGTTTGAAGGGCTGCAAAGCCTTCGAAAAGGAGCTGAACCAAGTGTGTTATGAAATTATTAGTTACCCTCACTCATGTGTACATGTAGGGGAAACACCTCAGCCATCGACGGTGTGAAGAAGGGCTGTGCTTTCATCTGGGCTGAGCCAAGGCGTTCAGGAGGAGGGAGGGGAAATCCTGTTTATCAGAAAGGCTTTCATCTTCTCTCTCCCCACAGTGGAACCTCGTCTGTGACAACGACTGGAAGGGACCCCTCAGCACCTCCCTGTTCTTCGTGGGCGTCCTGCTTGGATCTTTCGTCTCGGGACAGCTGTCAGACAAGTAAAGTATATACCCCAGAGCTGCTGGCTCCTTGTTTCATGCTGTTCTGTAAGGAATTCTCGTATATATTGCAATTCTTGCTCTGTTTTTCTGCAACTAATAACATGTCTTTGTTCTGTCACTGTCTAATCTGAACGTGCACAGAGCGTGTAGAAGAAACGTCCTGCAGTAGAACAGAATGTTACAAAGATTGTTAGTGAGTGTTGCCTTTATCTGTTTATTTTTTCAGTGAAATCTCTTCTGGAGCAAACTGTTTTTATGCCAGAAAACAGGTGTAGGAGTTAAGTTTCGTGTGAAAAAATCAGAACAATTACATTCTCTTCTAATTACTTTGGCCTGTGTTCAAAGAGTTCCCTGAGGCATGTTTTCCTTTTTTTGAGGTCAAATTAAAAAATTCTCTTTTTATAAACACCCGTAGCTTCTTTTCCTCCTCATCAAATTCAACATCTAGGCCCTATGACCTGTGTTTGTGGCAGCTGCAAAACATGAATGCTGTTCAGCTGCACTTCAGAGAAGCAAAGCTTTCTTCTTTGGGGACTTTTTTTTCCCGTATTTCTCATCCCAGAGTACACTGGCTTTCTTTTTTTATCAGTACAAACATGAAGAAATGGAAGACACCATCTTTTTTTTCCTGCTGTTGACAGGTTGTTGGATTTGGGGTTTTGTTTTCTTTTCTTTTAAAGCTTGGTTTTTGTGATTATCTCCCTGAGATTTGTTGTGCTGTGATTCCCAGAGAACAATACGTGGTCCCCTAATTTGCTTCATTCAAGAGCTCCCACCTCCTCATCTGCTATGAGGACATGAGCATCTTCCATGGTGGCTAACCAGGTGAAGCTGTTCTCCTGGTGCCAGAAGCCACGACTTTCCCATCTTCACCATCACGGGAGTTTCCTCCCGTATCTCCTTCTTCACATGGTCATCCAGACCCTCCCAGTTGAGGAGGCCATCAGCACAGCTCAGCCAGTTCCTCTGGTAGCCACTTACCTGCAGCTAGCTCATGGTCAAGGGACCATCCAGCAGCCCCAGAAGGACACTGCTCCAGCAAGGCCACGTGTGGTGCTTTGCTGCTGCCGTCTGGTACAGAAAGTCCTGCACCAGCCTGAGCCAGGCATGACAGTGAGATTGACAAAGTATTTCACTGCTTCAAGTTCTGTTCTTAACGTGTTGTGATCCCCCTGAGGCTCGTGCCACCCAACTGCAGACCTCCTGCTCAAGCCTAAGTTGGGAGTGGGGTTGTGACAACCTGAGCTCAGCAGATGTCCTGTCACGGGCAGCAAAGTCTGCCTCTGGTGTGGGACTGTCCCGGCCGGGACATCGGTGCTGGCTCCTGGAGCATCTTGATGAGTTGGGATTAGTTTAATTTCTTCCCCTTCCCCTTCCCCACTAGAATTTCTAGAATCCCTTAAATTCATTCTTTTTCTAACCAAGTAGAATGAAGATTGCAGCATGGGATCACTTACTGATAATAGCGTCTTACGAACCTGAGTTTTACCTCTCTTTCAGAATTTTTCCTTCTTTTTCTGTTTTTTAACGTATCTCTTTCATGAGCTGTGAGCTCCTTAGAGGGGAAGGAGCATCTCATACTCTTGCATTTTGAATAATTTGCTCCTGATGATTTGTCTCCCTGCTCATCCTATCAGTAAGGAAGGAGTAGTGTGCCAGCACATCCAGCAACTTAACCAGCAGCATTTGGAATATTATTTTCCCTTTTAAATGTATTTAGAATAGTTGTGCCTGTGTTATGTTTCCTGAATCTCTGCTTTTTGCAGATGTTTTGCATCTCCCTAAGTATGCATACGCGTAATCTTATTTTTCTGTTTCTGAAGATCTCGTTCATGCTGTTGTGTAATCTTTTTATTTATTTATTTTTTCTTTTTTAATCTGTCCACGGAAGGTTTGGCAGGAAGAATGTGCTGTTTGCGACTCTGGCGATGCAGACCGGCTTCAGCTTTGTACAGGTCTTCTCCACCAGCTGGGAGATGTTCTCGGTGTTCTTTGTGCTGGTGGGCATGGGACAGATCTCCAACTACGTGGCAGCGTTTGTTCTCGGTAGGACAGTCCTGCTGGGCCCAGCACGCGGCCTTTAGTCTTGTGCTTTTCCTCCTCCTTTTCAGTACTGGCCTAGGGTTGATTTGTTTTGCCAAGCAATGCCATCAAGAGTGTGTCCTCACCACCCATGGAGAACTCATGCTCTCCTTGGAAGCTTCTAGTTCATACAAGTACAATCTGAATTAAATTTGTGGCTTACCATCCTAAAAAAGCAAAAAAAACCCCAGAAATTGATTATTGAAAACAAAATGTGTCTTCCAGATGGAAAGATAAAATGCGCAAAACATGATTTTTTTCAGGGATTTGGTTGTCCATTTTGGGGCCTAAATGCCTATTTGATATAAAGACTTGTAAAAGGAAAAAAAACCAATCAAGTAAGTGTTATAAGGTCTCTTTAAAACAGCTTGTAGTAAAAAACTACATGGCATAATGATTCCTGGTTGGTATATTTTCAGTTTAACTGATGATTAGATGGCAATGTGAATTACCTTATAAATTTGAGACTATTTTTTTTAAATTGGAGGGTGTTTTTAATTAATGTGATTTGCAGTGGCCTCCCAAGTACCGAATGTTGGCAAGAAATTCTTTTGGGGCCAAAGAGGAGCAGCTGAGCTGTGAAAACAGTGTTTAGCTGACCTCCTGCTGTGACTTCTGAAATCTTCTTCCATTTCAGTGGAAGATTCCATTACAATGTCTCTTGATTTGTGGGTCCCTCAAAGGGAAGCACTGGCTTGGGTTAGTGCGTTAATTCCACTGACAGTGGAATTCCACTGATTAATTCCACATTAATTCCACTATCGGTAGCCTTTGTTAGTGATGTGTATACACCAAAAATCAGTGTAATTCCACTGATTTAATTCCACATTAATTCCACTATCAGTGGCCTTTGTTAGTGATGTGTATACACCAAAAAAAGAGCAAGATTTTTGGCTAATAGTGAAATAGTCATTTAGAAAGTGGTAGAGATCAGGAACTTAATTTAGGCATCTCTGAATTATCCTTTATCTCCATGAGCTGGAGAGGACCCTGTGGAGATCAGGCTGAGGTTAGGTGTGGTAGATGTTTTATGTTGTCTTAAGTAGTTTTAGCTCCTCAGGTAAAATGGGAGATTCCGAAAAAAATAGAATTTTAGAAGTTTTAGCTCCTTTGAGCTATAGAAATACTGTATGGCCTGATTCTCTCCCTCTTATACTTACCTGGGTTGATGCAGGATCACTGCATGAAGCGTGTGTGGTGCATCTGAAATTGGATGGCAGAACGTGCTGGATAATGTAATTACCCAGTGTAGCATATTTCAAAGCCAATCATTAGAGGGTTTTTTTGATGTTACTGGGTTGCTATTGAGTTAAAATACTAACCTTCACTCTGCTGTTTGGAACAGGCACAGAAATCCTTGGGAAGTCGATCCGTGTGCTGTTCTGCACGCTGGGCGTCTGCATATTTTACGCGTTCGGCTACATGTTGCTGCCCCTGTTTGCTTACTTCATCCGAGACTGGCGGATGCTGCTGCTGGCACTCACCTTACCTGGGCTGCTCTGCATCCCGCTCTGGTGGTGAGTATCACTCATTTTGTTAAAAAACTTAGTCTTCAGAAGGTCCTATCTGGAAATCTTTAAGATCCAGGCTCCAAGCCAAGCGAGGAAATTCAGGAATCGGCAGGTGAGGAATAGATGCTGTGTCCTTTGCTCTTCCACTGTTTAGCTGTAAGTCCATAGATTATTTTTTTTCATGCCTGAAAAGCCTATTCTTCATTTTCTGTAGGCTTCTGTAAAATTAAGTGATGCATATGCAAAGAAAAAAAATAAAGTCAATAAAACTCATCCTTCTGCACCAACTGAAATCCCTGAGCTCTTTAAGAGGAGGCCTGAACTAAGAGCTGAGGGAGAAACCAGTTGGTTTTGGCACTTTTCGTGTTTTCTTCTAGAGTTAATGACATAGTACTTCCAGGGGGTGTGTAAAGTTTGAAGAGTCCACAGGGTGGTGGTGTTTCTTCACTCACATCAGCATTTATGTTTGTGGTTCCATCCAGCTTCTTACAGAGTTGCATGACTCAGGCGAATTCTACTTTCTGATTTGCCTTTCTATGACAGTATTTACAGTTAGTAATTTTATAAGAGTTATTCTCTCTCTGTTCTCTCTCTAAGGACACACCTCTTAATGCACAGGGTGCTGCTTGTGTATTCACATTTCTGAATTTCTTTATTTAAACTATTTTCCCATACTTTGAAGGTTTTGGTTGCTCTTTTTTGCTGAGTCGTTTAGTATTTCTAAAATCCACAAACCCATTTTAACCTGTTCTTGGTCAGCAGGCAGTCTGCTCTTGTCAATCTGATTTCTGGTGTCATTGCTTTCATGTCTGTGAGATAAGGCAAGTTTTGAGCTCCTCGTGCCCGGAATGGTGTGTACTGGTGCCTGCAGCAGTGCTTTCTGGGGAAAACCAGCCTCCTTATTCTGAACCTCTTCTTTTCAGGGTCATTCCAGAATCCCCGAGGTGGCTGATCTCCCAGGGAAGGTTTCAGGAGGCAGAAGACATCATCCGAAAGGCTGCAAAAACCAACGGCGTTACAGCCCCAGATGTTATATTTGACCCTAGTGAGGTAAGAGTCATTCAGTTGTTTGCTGGACCTATTAATAGCATGTAAAGTGATTAATTTCCAGACTATGAAAGGAGTTATGCCTGCAGTGTATTGTGTACTCCTCAAATGGGCAAAAGGCCCACCTTTTCCTGAAAAGCAGAATACTCTTTCCCCACTTCATGAAGATTTGCAAAGCCCTTGCTGTCCCATCCCCATGGGAATGCCAACGTGTGTTCTAATGCAACCATCTTTTTGATCCAGTTTACAGCCACCTTTTTCCTTTTAAACTCTAGTTTTTGAGGGAAGGTAATGAATTGGAGGTACTTATTACTTTGGGATTTAAATACTTGCACTGAACAGATTTTATGCTTGCACAGCCTAATTATATTAGTTCTATACATAGTTATAGTTCTATAAAAGTCCAATGCAGGACTAATCCTGGCCACTGGCAGAGTAAAGAATGTCATTCTAGTTCAATTCTGTGCTCAACTCCCAATTTCTACTCCATGTTAAGGAGAACAAAACTTGAGCTCCTCTCGGGTGGAGTGGCCATCGGTGTCTTTTCTTCCCCATCTGTTTCTTCCAAGGCTTTCTTGTTTCCTCCAGGTATCCCCCCATTTATCTGAGCTCTTGGTGTTCCACACTCGCCCAAACCTGACCTCCAAAGGACAAACAGACAGACAAACTGTTTGCATAATGCAGGAGAATGGGCACCTGCAGGCAGATCTGTGGAGTCTGTCTGCTGAGTGGCCTCATTGTGTTGTTGTCATTGTGTTGTTGTTGCTGACATTGTCTTGTTTACATGAAAATACCTTGTATGTTCACTATGTTCACTGGCTTTAGGAGGCCTCTGTGCCAGACTAAGGAAAATGGGGAGCCATTAACCTGTGTGTGTGCTATTGGGGTTGAAACAGCTTGGCTTGGGGTGAAGTTGCCTGAGGTGCAAACAAAGCTGTTTGTCCAGACTTACTTGTAGATAGTAGGACAGACATCCTGGTCTTGTTGGAACAGAGTGAGAATGCAGGAAAACCCAGACCTTCTTCTGAGAGCCTTTGCCCTGGATTTTCATTAGAACATGGGGTTTTTTTTTCCTTTTTTTTCTCCTTCCTTATTATTCTGTTGGCATGAAAACTTACCCATTGCCAGCACCACAGCAAGAGACAGGAAAATAAGCTCTGGCTCCAACATCTGCTAAAGGTCACTGTCCCTGGAATCCTCTATCTCCTGTTCATAGAACAAAATATTGGTCTGTTTGCCATCTCTGACATCTTCTTGCAGAAGGCAGGGGCAAGAGGAGGGATGTTGCTCCAGGGAACACTGGACAAGGGGAAATGCTGATTTCTGGAGCACACGGTGCTTATTTACAGATAAATCCTTGCATGTCAACCATCAGAAACACAGATTCACATTCTGACACTGAAAGAAAATGAGCTCGATGAGCAGGCACTGGTTAAACACCGAACTCCTGTCCATCTTTTTACTTTTTTAAGGTAAAAGTAATGCTGTGAGCAAAAACTTTGTGCAGAGCTTTTCTTTGTCAGTGGTCTGTTCACGCTGTTTTCGTGTCTGCTTTCTGGAGAGCTGTGAAGCAGAAGGTTTGCAGCCTCTCGTGAGTTTTTAGGAAGCATGTTTACAGTGCAGAGAGGTTCTCAGAAATCAGCTGGCCCATGGCCCTCCTGCAGCTGGAGGGTGAGTTCTGGATGAAGGAGCCCCCCAAGCTCATGTTTGTGAGTATTCCTCGAACCCATGCAGCTGCAGAGCAACACCTGCAATGTTTAGCCTCCAGAGATTTCAAAACCAGTTAGGATCCAGCAGGTGACAAGCTGTGGAGCACAAGTAGGGCCTGGTTGGCTGATTTATCCCATATGAGGGGGATAAAAATGTTTGGACAATAGGTTTAATTTCAAATCGCGGTTTTCCCCTCCCTGCCCTCCTCACAGCTTCTTGTTCCAGCTTGTCCTGGTAAGGATTCTGTTGTCTGCTTATCCAGCTTCTGAAAGGCAGGGTCCTTTTTTCTCATCAACTGTATGTTCCTGGTTTTGTTTTGTGGTTTGTTTGGGTTTTCTCCTTTTTTTTTGTTTCCTGTTTGCTAGTTTCTTGGCAACAAATAGTGGCAGAACTGGAGAGTGCTTAGGAAAGATCATGTGATTTATAAGAAGGGGCTGGGAGCTGTGGAGCTGCCTGCAGCCTGTGTGCTGGGGCCTTTGGCTTCAGGCAGAATGGAGCTCTCAAATGGAGAGAACTGTTTGCCTTTGCTAGAAAATGCAGATTTATAAAAGCAAACACACTGATGTTCGGCTTGCACGAGCATCAGGCTGCTATTTTACCCAGGTCTTAAGAACAAAATATCATTCAGAAAACTATTTCACCTGAATTTCCATGAACTTTGTGTTTCCATTAGCTCAGATGCAGTTTACAAGGTATTAAGGAGATAATGTATATTTTGAGTTGAGGGGCAAGAGTTAAGGGCCCCAACTCAGTGTCCAGCAACTAACTTGCCAAAAGGAACATCACTGAGTACTCAGGAGAGATTGATGAGGAATTAAGTTCAACTAATGCTTGCTTTTGTCTCTTCATTGCTGTGTTGTGTCCTGCAATACATCCAGCTACTTCTGCTGGACCAGCCTGATGTTTTAGGGGGGAAAAGTACTGTAAATTGAAGTAATACAGAGTAACTGATGGTGTATTAGACCAGGTGGAAAGAGTTCAGGAAAGTTTCGAGTAGTGAGTAATTGCTCTGTTTTGAAACTCCAGTCATAGTTTACTTTTATTGATAACCGTTTGTGCATGCCATGAAGGATTACACTGTGCCAACAAAAGGCATTCAGTCATTAAACATGTTAAAATTAAATCTGACATTCTCAGGTCACACTGACTTGAAAAATCAAGGGAGGAAGTAATCTTTGTTTACAGTTTATTGTGTTTGCACATAATGGAGGTCTGCCAGGAGAGAGCGATTCTTCTGGTTGAGGAAGGAGAAGTCCTCACTTAAATAACAGAAAAAAATGAATCTCTCTGGAAGATTACAAGATTAAAATCTTGTTAATGTTCTTACTGTAAGACTGTTCAAAAGAGTATTAACTTGATGAGTAAGTAGCCTGGGATAAATCCTGATAACATAAAATCATAGAATCATTGAGGTTGGAAGAGACCCTTGGGATCATCGAGTCCAACCATCTCCCCTACTCTACAAAGTCCTCCCCTACACCATGTCCCTCAGCACTGCATCTAAACGTCCCTTAAACACAGCCAGGGATGGTGACTCCACCCCCTCCCTGGGCAGCCTGTTCCAATGCCCGACCACTCTCTCTGTGAAGAATTCCTTCCTAATGTTCAATCTAAACCTCCCCTGTTGGAGCTTGAAGCCGTTCCCTCTCGTTCTATTGTTAATTACCTGTGAGAAGAGACCCCATCTTTTGCAATAACAAAAATGTGACATGTCTAGAAGACTGTCGTCCTTCAGTTCTAAGTGTTGCTTGATTAGAGTTGATAGTTTTAATAATGGAACTTTTCCTCTTAAATCACCTTTTACATATTTTTAAAAATCTCTCCCTTGTAATTTCTTGTTCTAAATTAAAGTCCTAAATTAAAAAAAAAATCCAAATTCTTTCCTTTTCTACAGTCTTATCAAGCACAAAACTTGTTTGCATGCTTCATGGATGAATATCTTTGCATTGTTTACATGGAAGTGGTTTTATTTTGAGAAGCTGGAAGGTTTCACAGAGGAAGGAGAAGTTTGTTGTCTTTTTGCTTATATTCTTAGAAGAAGGTCTGAAAACCAGGCTGGATGATGATGGGGACTCTTCAGCTCGTTAGCCAGTTTGTCTCAGTTTAAATACATTACTGTTAGGTCCAACATGAGGAGTCACTTACTAAATCTGTCCTGCTGCACTTTAATCTCATTATTGCTTGCTTTGTCTGCAGTGGACATTGAGGAGAGTTTATCACTTTTTTTGCTGGTCCTTGAAGACCATTCTTGGTCTTTTAAGACTTCCTCATTCTGTCCCTTGGGCTAAATAAACCCTCTACATTTACAGATCATGTTTTTCAAATGTCTCATCATCTTGGTGCTCTCTTGTTCTTCTGTCTTGACTTCCATGGTTCTTGGGGTGCCCTGCTCAAAACTGCACCTAAGAACTCTGCCAGCAGTAACATACAAATAATGAATTAATGCTGTCGCTTTGTAATTCAAGCATAAAAGTAACAATAAGCAGTTGCTTTGTGGAGCCTGAGGCAGAGAAAATGATTACAAATTTCAGCCTGAATTTTAAGTGACTTTAGGGAGGAGCAACTACTTTCACAGGTAGTTGGCTCTCACAACTTACACATTTTTGGTTAAAAGCGAGGCGCCTGTTTCAGCTCTGCAGCATATAAAATACTCATGTATGAGTTGGAGGCGACTTATTTTCACACTAATTCTGCTTGTTGAAAGTTAATGTTCCTATGGTTGGTTTGTTTGCAGCTGCAAGATGCGAATTCTCAGAAGCAACAGACATACACCATTTTGGACCTAATGAGAACCCGAAATATCCTGACTATCACAATTATGTCGGTGGTGATTTGGTAAGCAACAGTGGTTCGGGGGGTATGGAAGCACAAAAGCAGCAAAAAAAAAAACAAACTGTTCTTTGAATACTAAGGTATTCTGAAAAGATCCGGACAAAACCAGCTCAAAACCCACCAACCTGCTGGCTGAAGCAGCCACGCTCTGGTGATGTAGGTTCTTGTTTCAGTAAGAGCCTAGAAGCTCGTGTGGATTGTTCTTTCTTTCTGAAGCAGTCAGGCATAGCATGAGCTGGGCAGGGATCAGCTCAGCTGGCAGTGATGCCTGGGAATCCTGCCTGATGTTGGGCCTTGGGGAATCCTCATCTGACTGTAAGGATGTCTTTTTAAGAGGAATGAGTCATGCCCTGTCCTCCAGGCAGAGAATGCTGCCCAGGGGTCCCAGCACAGCCATGGATGGATGCCTGGAGAGAACCTTCCCATCTCTTTTGTGTTGTCCCTTAAAGGGGTAAAGCTGCCTGTGAAGTTCTAAGCTGAGATTTCCCTAGACTTTTCCTGCTGGCTGTTCTGTCTACCTGCCCTCTTCACAGCTTGGTGTTGCACTAGCTAAAGCCATGCTTTATGCTCAATTTGATTAAACCCTTGTCATTTTCTTTTCCTGGAAACCTCAGCGAAGCTGTAATTGCTCAGAGGAGAAAATGGAGAGGCTAATTTATAGCTAAGTATATAATTGATGTTTAATTAGCGCGTGTACCCTACAGTGTCCTCACCAAGAAGGTCCCTCAAGTGCTTTGGAGCCAACTGAGTCTATTTGATGCCTTATTAACAACATTCCTGTGCTTTGGTGAGGCAAAGCTGGGAATTCAGTCCAGTGCATACAGGCTGATGTGGCTTTTGGGGTCAAAGGATGACTTGGTTAATGTTTAAGCCGGATTCTTTTGCCCGTCACCAAGCACAGTGCTGCAAACACACTGAGAAAGGAGCTCAAGCAGAAAACAGCTCAAAAAAAGAAAAGTGATGGTGGTTCTTTCAATGTCAGTACAGTTTCCATGCGCTGTTGTCTTACCTCCAAGTCCAATTGCTGACTCTCACCTTTAATTGGAAGTTAGCTAGAGAATTGAGACTGCCCTACTTCTAATCCACGTGGAGATCAGTAGTGAGTTCTAGGCACAGCCGATTTGGCGTGTGTGGTTGGAGAAATCAAATGCAGAACCTGTTGGAACAGCGTCAGACAAAGGATCTGAGAGAAGCAGCGTGATGTGGCAGTATGTAATTCATTCCATGTGCTGGAGGGCTTTTTACCACGTGATAAATGAAGTTTTAGGATAGGGAGGAAGAGTCAAACATGTGCAGCCGCCTTACACAATCTCACCTCCTCTTGCAGAAAAGTATTCAGTTGATTTGGGCAATTTTTCTACTATTTTTACCGTGTGTGTCAGTTGTCTAACCTCCTTTTAATTAGATTTCCTGAAATATAAAGCATCCTATGCTGACTTACAGCGATGTTTTCCAACCCACAGTATGTTCTGCATTATGAATTGAAAGATGTCATATGAGAAGCTGTGTAGAAGAGGGTGGTTGCAGATAGGGGTATATCACTTACATATTGCTGAGTTGTGATAATTTTGAGTAGGGAACAGGCCTTTAAACTAATCCCTTTGCTGGGTTTCCATCGGGGAGGAGGAAGTTTGCCTTCTTGTCACCCTGGGTTGTGTAAACACCCCAGTAGTTTTCCCAGAAAACGTATAACTGTCAAAGTTTTCCAACGTGATAAGCTAGGGCAGACTGCTCTTGAAAGGGAGTTCCAGCAAGCACAGTTTATTGTACGTGTAAAAATAACTCCTGGGATCACTGGGCTGGGTGTATTGCATCGTGGAAAACACCAGGGAACTCCCGCTGAGAAGAATAGCATTAGCTGGCAGGGCAGACACCTCAGCTGGGGTCACCCTCCAAGACATGACTTCATACCTTCCCAGGTACACAAGGCAGGTTATTTTAAGGAATTGGACCGTGAAAGGCTCTTCCCGTGTGAAGGGAGAAGGAGGAAGAGCTAATCTTTGGTGGGTGACCTGCTTTGTGCTGTGCAGTGATTTTTTGCTCCAGGTTTTGTTATGATACAGATACGGGAGGAGATGAAGTGCTGGGTGCTCTGTGCCTCATTGCTGCACCTCACACCTCCTGATCCACAGACACAGTGCTTAGAGAGATGGTTTAGTGGTGGTTTTTGTCAGTGTTGGGTTGATGATTGGACTCAGTGATCTGAAAGGTCCCTTCCAATGCAGACAATTCTACGATTCTTCGATCCAGTGCCCATTGTTCCCTTGTTTACCACGTGTTACTCACTGGAGAAGCATAACCTGCTCTTCCCAGCACTTCCCAAGACACGACAGGATTTGTCTCCAGAACCAGTTGTGTGTTTCCCTCCATCACATGGAAGCCAGCTCTCATCTGGCAGTGGCACAATTTGGGTGGCAGCGTTCCCGGCCACCAAGCTCTGTCCTGTCACACTGACCAAACCAGGCACTGTCCAGCCAGCCTGGGGCACGGCAGAGAAAATCCCAAATTGTTTGGGTCTGCCATACTCCTCCTCTCTGACTTTATACACAGAGCATGGAGGGTAATGACCCAGAAGCAACATTCTCTGCCCAGAACTCCCTTGTAAATATAATGAAAAGCTACTGTAGACCTCCGAAGTGGTAAAATTCAGTGGTTCAAACTTTCAGGCCAAGGCTTCTACTAGTAATAGGAACTGCTGTTGATCATCACTTACCTCCTAGGGTTGATCTGAAATACGGAGGCATTAGAAATAGGCAGCCCCTCTCCAGCAGCGTGACTTGCAGAGACAAATGCCATGTCTAAAAGTGACACCAATAACCCAAAGCTTCCTTGTGAGGTCTGAGTGAGAGTGGGATGGACAGTTATAAAGTCATGCCATGGCATCAGGAGAGAAGTGTGACCTCTATAGCTGCAGGAGCATCCAGCAGTGGTGGGCTCATAGGCCTGGGCCTCAGCAAGGTGAGCAACAGTTCGGGAGTTACTTAATTGCATTAATGCTGAATAGGATTATTTTTTAATATATTTTATTCCTTGAACTCAAGAGAAACTAGAAAGATAAAAAGTATTGGCACTGTTTAATTGTTATTTTGCTCTTTCTGAAGAGCAAAATAACAATTAAACTTAGGATGCTTCAGAGGTGAACAGATTGATATGCTGAATTGACCTTACGTAGTGATTTTCTTGATATCTAAAAGAGGTTCGTGGCAACCTTAGGAGGAAGAGAAATTCATCTGATGCTGTTATTCTGCTTCTTTCAGGATGATAATCTCTGTGGGTTATTTTGGACTTTCTCTTGACACACCTAACTTGCACGGAGACGTCTATTTGAACTGCTTCCTCTCGGCAGTGATTGAAGTTCCAGCCTACATTATTTCCTGGCTGCTGCTGCGCAATCTGCCCCGACGGTACTCAATGGCTGCTGCGTTATTCTTGGGAGGCTGTGTTCTTCTCTTCATTCAGCTGGTGCCTTCACGTATGGAATCGTTAGTTGATCTCAATGTACAATAGCTGCAGTGCCGTGCACTGGGTAGATGTGGAGGAAAAGTGTCCCAAGAGGACTAAATTCAGATATTTGTTCCCTGTATCTTTGCCCCCGCTTCTGTGGTTCTCAGTGCTGACATAAACGTGTCAATTCAGATATATTTTTAAAGGTGGGTCATTGGCTTCGTGGTCTGTTGGGATCAGGTCTGTAATCCAGCTTTGCCTTAACGTACAACCCTGGCAAGATGCCCTGGCAAGGTCCAAGCATAAAACCAGCCCGAGACCAAGCAGACTTTGATAAGCAGAGGCTCCCAAGAGGCTGCAGGACTTGCTTCCCAAACAGCTCTCAATGACTCTATTGTTTGTTTGAACAGTTATATTCAAGGGAGTCATTGTGGAGGCATTTTTGATAAGCTTGTACTTGAATTAGTGTTGCTAGTTAAAATAATAAATAATAAAATACTTAAAGTAATGTTTCACAACTGGAAAGGAGGAAAAAAAATAGCATTTATTGGACATCAAACCATATGTATCTTTAGGGCAGTTAAATTAATAGGGTTATGGACTCGTTACTGATAATTAATATGATGGAGGGCTATTGTTGATTATCACATATTTACAAATCAAAGAGTAAAAGAGAATGCGCAAGAGCTGCCATGCTTATTTTATGCAGGTAATATGTGGGGTACATTCTCTTTTCTTTTTTTTCCCCCCTCCTGTCCTTCGAGTCAATTGGCGCTGATACGATCTATTTTGATTTTCATATCTACCTGTCCTGATTACAGTCAACCCAGCTTCCTATCATTAAATTATTGACTTATAGCTAGGAATGTTAATGAGAAGCCAGAGCAGGAAACGAAAAGTACTTGTTTCAAATGTTTGACTTTGTTCACTTTATTAAGAAGGGATATATGGCATTGTTTGCAATAGCAGAGTTCTGGCCTCTGAAACGTGAGGGGACCTCTCCAGTTCTTGCTCTCTTCTCCTTATTTTTTGCTTGGTAGGAAGCCCCATCCTCAAGAGGGAATGAAAACATTGAGTCCTTATCATTTTAAAAGAAACAAAATTAAAAATGTTGCCCAAGCTTGTAGAGGCATACAGGGGAAAAGGACACCAGATACTGGAATTGAATTAATTAGGCAGGAGTTACACAAACACAATGGAATTAAGAAGAGACCCTGAATTGTCAGAGCTTTATTGAAGTCCTTACTGTGTTTTGATTTCAGATCTTCGTACGTTATCCATTCTGCTGGTGATGTTGGGGAAGTTTGGGATCACGTCTGCCTTTTCAATTGTTTATGTTTACACGGCTGAGCTCTACCCGACCGTGGTGAGAAACATGGGAGTTGGGGCCAGTTCCATGGCCTCCAGGCTGGGCAGCATCCTCTCACCTTACTTCGTTTACCTCGGTAAGTTAACGAGCCTCTGTGTGTGCAGGGGGGATGCTGGTGGTTGGAAAGTGAGGACTTTTGCCCACATCAGTGTCCTGCCTTGGGGGGTCCTTGGGCTTTTCTATTGGTCTCTGTTTCCAGGTGTCCTGTGGAAAGTGCAGGTGGCAATGGGGTCTCAACGTCCCTGAGGAATGGGCTTAACGTAGAGAGATGGGGGTTTGTGTCCTCTTGAAGAGATGCTCTGGAGACTCACAATCTTAGTGACTCCGTGGGGACAGCTCTAAAAGCTTTTGTTTCCCAGTCGCTTGAGTTCTTAAAACCACATTTATCACAACGTGCTTTGAGTGCTAGACTGTGAGGGGGGGTGGGTTGGTTTTTTACTGAAACCTTGCAGGGATAAAGCCCTGTGCCAAGGTGAAAACACGATCAGAGACTTAGAGGTGATGCTAGAGGTGATGGATTGTGTTCTGCAGCCTCATGTGTTGTGTTCTGCCAGGTGCCTATGATCGATTCCTGCCTTACATCCTGATGGGCAGCCTGACTGTGCTGTCAGGAATTCTGACTCTATTTCTGCCAGAAAGCTATGGTATGCCTCTTCCAGACACAATCGAGCAAATGCTGTTGGTGAAAGGGTAAGTGTCACCTTCTGACCTTAACGCATGTATTCTCTGCCCTGAGGAGAGGAATGGATTATCCCAGGGGGTGTCAGATGAAGGGGCTGGTTTGGGGAGTGTAGTTAGTGCTGTGTTGAAAATATGAGAGCTTGGCTGGCATCTTGGTCCCTCATTCCAAGTGTGTGTGTTTGTATGCACATTTCAGCTCCAAATTTATCATTTTACTCTGAGGACTGAATAGAGATACATATGAGGAATGCCTTTGCAAAAGCGTATTGCATTATAAATGTATAGGGACACTCCATAGGTTATCATCTATCTTTCTAGGTCCTGAAAGTCATCTAAGTCCTGATGAAGGGCTGAATTCTTGCCTAAAAAGCTCAACTGGCCTAAAAAGGCATTGGGAGCATTTGACCCTTTGCCCCAGCTCTGATTGAAGGTGGCACGTGACCATACACCTGGTGTAAGAAAGGGACCTGTCCAATGGAAATAATCAGGATATTAGAATTAGGAAGCTGTAATGTCATTATGTCCCATCCCTGGAGGGGTTCAAGGCCAGGCTGGATGGGGCTTGGAGCAACCTGGTCTGGTGGGAGGTGTCCCTGCCCAGGGCAGGGGTTAGAACTAGATGAGCTTTAAGGTCTCTTCCAACCCAAACCATCCTGTGATTCTATAATGTCAAACAGGGCTCAAGATACCCAACATTTTTCTTCTCTGTTCTCTCATCTATTTTTTTTAAGTTGTTTTCTCTCTCTTTTCTTTTCTTTTCCTTTCTTTTTTTTTTCACCTAGATTAGAATACAGGCCTGCATCTAGTAGCACCAGGGATTCCAAGGAGGAAGAAGAAAACCCAGAGATTTTTAAAAGCACGGCTTTTTGATGGAACTCCTATGCACTTCCAGGTGGACTGAAAGTTAAATGGACTTTACTTCTAAAATTCATTCTAGAAAGGGCTAGTGGCAACACTTTGTTTCCTGTAATTTTAACCTTATTTATTAATTTAAACACTGTGTTCCGTACATTCTCTTTTTATATGAAGATAAATGCTGTATAGCCTTTAATGAGATTTTTCAGCCACAGTCGTGTTAATGCAGTAGTACCATGGGACAGTATCTGATCAATCCTTTGTAACTTTAAATGTATAGTTCAGCTGAAAGATACTTGAAAATGAGTTCAAGGGCTGGCAGGGTACCTGGATTCCTCGGTGAACCTTCTCCAGAGCTAACGGACATCAAGAAGTAGAAAATTGCCAGAAAAAGCTGCTAATTGGTTTTGATTTCTTTGGCTTCTGTCTCTGGACAGGAAACTTGTTTATTATAGTGAAGGTTATGAGAAGGTGCCTCCCTGTGATCTTACTCAAATGACTTTGCAAGTGCTGAATTTAGTACTGAATTCAGAAAGATGCAAAGAAAGATTTTGAGAATTAATTTTAACTTTGTTCTGTTTTAACTCAAGGTGGGGTTGTCTTGCACAAAGGATTTATAGCACTGAAGCTTTGCTTATAAAACTCACTTGATTCCAATGCTGGTTTTCAACCGTACCCCTATGGTGAAGCTGTTTACATCTCACCCTGGACTGTATTTATTGTAACTGATGCAAAAGGTTTCATCTGTGTGTGGAGGGAGCGGTGTTCGTTGGGGTTCTTCCCTTTTGATGCGTGGGGGAAGTTTTGTGTCTAAATCATTTTAACATTTTCTGTGCAATTGAGGTGGCGGAAACAATCCTCCGGTCTTTGTTCTGTGCTTTTCACACATGTGCACACAATTAATGTATTTAGGGATAAATTTTTGTGTTAATCTCTGTCACTGCGGTGACCTCACGGTGGAATGTCCTGAGAACAAACTTCAGAATATATTTCAGACCTCTGGTTCTCAATTCCCAAGTGCCAACTGTACAATTGCCGTGAGGTCTGTTACTTCACTTAACTTTTATAATCAGTAAATTGTTTTCAGATTGTTGGGAAAAAAAAAAGAAATTAATCTTTTTGACAATCTGCCAAGAAATTGTTCCTCGGGTCGTGGAAGCACCCTTGGCATTACCTGTGTTTCTTTAAATATATGCAGTATATACCTACACCCAGTCTTGTTTGTGCTCTTGGGATTGTGCTGTGACAGATGTGAGTGGTGAAAGGTTTCTGTCTGGTGGCATCTCTGTGTGTTTTGTTCTGTCTTGTAGAAGCTTAATAAACAGAACCTCAACCTTTGTAGCCAAAGCTTAGGGGCCTTACTCTCTGCTGCAGCACTTGGGAGTGGAGGTTTTGCCCTTTCTGAGGGTATTTTAATAGGTGGCATCGGCCGATTCCTGTCTTTCCTTAACCATTCCCCCAGTTCTGTCCTTGGGAAGCGGCTCTAGCAGTGGGGCTGGTGTGTGCCCTCCACACTGCTTGGCTTAAAAACCCAGAAAGTAGAAAAAACTGTATAAACTAAATGGGTTTGGTTGGGGATTTTTTTAAACTCTTCCTACCGGTGTCTTGAGCTTTACGGTCTGCTTTGTTTTCCCTGCATTGTCTTACCTACTTGTTGAGTATTTTAATTTCTGGGTGCAGCAGGCAGTTACTCAGCGTTACCAGCTCAGAGAATGGTACCCAAAAACACAGTTTTGTCTTCCCATCAGCTCTTCTGAGGTGAGAAATTCCGGCCTTTGGGCAGGTTTGGTGTCACTCCTGTTCCACAGATTGACAGGGCACTGGCAGGCAGGTTTCAAACGCGGTGTGGGATTTGAAGCTCGTGCAAAAAATGGAGAATCTGGCTTTTTGCAAGCCTCTCTGCACATCCTACAATAGCCTTGACGTGAGTAAATACCTGTCAGGAGAGTGCATGTAACAGCCAGTCTCCCTTGCCCAAAAGGCATGATACAATTTGTCAGCCTACCCACCTTTTTTTTTTAAAAAAATATTCATTGCAAGCTTAAGAATGCATTCTAAAACTTGGTACAGGCGTTTTTCTTTGTAAACCTTATTTCTAGGAACTGGAGCATTTAGAAGCAGCTTCTTTTTCTGTGTGGTGCAGAAGAATTATCTGATAACCGCAGGAATCTGAGACAAAACACATTGAACTGCAACTTTTGCCAACATAAACAGCCCTGTCCCATCAGTCTTTTCCCGTAACCTCTTTCAGAAAGTATGCTGAAATGTTAGGTACGGGCTTGCCTGATACTTGATTTAGTGAGGAAATTCCTGTCCTGAAGTGCAGAGACCTCTTAACGTCTGATTTAGCTGTAAATCCTTACCCCCTGTTTTATCCAGGTGTGTGCCTGGGAAGTGAGATATTTGTTCTTGAATGTTTAAATACTCTAATGTTTACTAAAGGGTTTTGTGGGGGTTTTTTGTTGGTGGTTTGTTGTTTGTTTGTTTTTTCTAATCCAGCCAAATTGGGGAATTTTCCGGTTATGACTAACACTACAAAACACCGTGGCAATCTCTTTGTGTCAAAAAAATACATTTATTTTCCCTTGCTCATCTTTTTTTTAAAAAAAAAACAAAGCAAAAGGTATGAGTCTGTAGACTATATTTATTGTAGCATCCTGGCTTATTTGGCACTTACTTTTTTTTATCCTGTTCTTCTCAAGTTTCTCTCTAAACCAAGGAGCTTGTCCTAGTGGGTAGGCAGGGTCCAGCAAATAGGTATTTCCAAAAGAAATCGGGGGAATGTTTTGAATGTAGGTAGGTGATCTATCTGTGCAGAGAAGATGTAGATGAGAGGACCAGGGCAGTGATGGTCCCACAGGACTGGGCACGGGGGAGACCCCACCTCGAGGGCTGTGTCTGGTTTTGGGCCCCTCACGCCAATAATAGACCTTGAGGTGCTGGAAGGGTCCAGAGAAGGGCAACGGAGCTGGTGAGGGGTCTGGAGAACATCTCTGGTGAGGAGAGGCTGAGGGAGCTGGGGGTGTTGAGCCTGGAGAAAAGGAGGCTGAGGGGAGACCTTCTCGTGGTGAAGGACCTGCTCTGCTGCTCTCCGGGAAAACCAGGGCTTTCGCTCCTGTTATCCTCAAAGAAATAGCCAGCGACACTTTGTAAGGAGAAAGGGACAGCATTTCCCTCTGAAAAAAGGGTTGTGATAAACCTGTGAGCTCCATGTTCTGCGGAGGAAGATAATAGAGACTTTGACGTTCAGGCTAACCCTCACCTGGGAAATCCTGAGTGGTTTTGGTGCCCATAACCTGACTTCCAGCAGCAGTATGGGTTCTACACAATCATCTGGTTAGGCAAAGTTCTCTGCTGCTCGAGAGCAATGCATGGGGCCATGTCTTCACCAAGGAGAGCAGCTTATGGCCTCGAGCTGCAACTGGCATCCCTTCCTTCCCAGCTCTCGGGATGGCTTCTTTCATCACCTTGGGCCATGCCTCATGGTCCTGTGACTTCAGGTTCTTTGCTTTGCTGGTGGAAATGCCGTTGACTCAAAAGGCACAACACAACTTCTTGTGATGTTTGTGCCCCAGGGTCCGTACTGGTTCGATTCTCCCTTTGACTCTGAGCGTAACGCTCACCTGAGCATCACTTGGTACTGCATCTTTCAGAAACGGGAAACTTTGGGTGGCTTGTGGTGCTAGTTTTGGTAGGAGGTGTGAACCCATCCTCCCCCATTTCCAGGTTACCATTTGGAAGCAGAAAACACAGAGAGATGGTGCGGGGAACAGAAAGGGGAAACTTTGGGTGACTTGTGGTGCTAGTTTTGGTAGGAGGTGTGAACCCATCCTCCCCCATTTCCAGGTTACCATTTGGAAGCAGAAAACACAGAGAGATGGTGCGGGGAACTGGGCTGCAGGAGTCAAGCGAGGATTTTGAGCGCTTAATCATATCCTTTTAGTTGCCTGACACCTTCATAGTTGTACACAAAGCTGCCTGTGAGGAGTTCCTGGGTATCTTCACTGTGCACCAAACTACGCTGCAAAAATACTGTTCTTTTCAGGGGCCTTTCATTTTGAGATGGGATGATGCTGACTCTGTAGTGCTGCTCTGCTGGAATTTGAGATTGTCATTATTACTGTGGGTATAACCCATCTCTGCCTTATGTTCTGCTCCGTTTCAGTCCCACCCAGAGGGGCTTCTCTTCTAACGCTCTACGGGGGCCTGTGCACGAGAGCACACGCCCTGCCAATGATGGGACTGTCTCCGTGGAGAAATTTGTATTTCAGTATTTGTGGAATAAAAACCTTAATCTTGGCAGTTGTGAGCGGTTTTCTCAAAGCGTGGAATCGGCGCCTTATGTACAAATGTCTGGGGGGTACTTTAAACTGGTAACGGCCACTGCCTTGTCTATGGAAAGATAGAGAACTGTCTTCTAAGAATGTAAATATTCCTGCCTGTAACTGAATTGGTTCTAACCTTTTTTTATCTTCTAACGCTCTACGGGGGCCTGTGCACGAGAGCACACGAGAGGAATCTGATGGGACTGTCTCCGTGGAGAAATTTGTATTTCAGTATTTGTGGAATAAAAACCTTAATCTTGGCAGTTGTGAGCGGTTTTCTCAAAGCGTGGAATCGGCGCCTTATGTACAAATGTCTGGGGGGTACTTTAAACTGGTAACGGCCACTGCCTTGTCTATGGAAAGATAGAGAACTGTCTTCTAAGAATGTAAATATTCCTGCCTGTAACTGAATTGGTTCTAACCTTTTTTTTTATAGAAAAATGCTTGTTATTTGTAAAATTCGGAATAAAATCGTATCTGGAATTATCTTTAAAATGAAGTATTCTCATCATTTTTTTATCACCTTCATGTTTCAAGGCGTTTTGTGTAACAGGGCTGCTTTATTATTATATTTTTTTGTGATCTTGTGGGCGCTGGGTTCCTCTCCTCCCTGCGGAGAGCGATCTGCCGAGGGGTCGTCTCGAGGGTCCTGTGCTCCTGGAGCATTTCCCAAACGGTCAGCAACGCAGAGAACCAGTAATTCAGCATTTGTTCAGAAATGAGAGGTTATTGACAAATTGCCAGGAGTTTCTCTGAGGTGCTCCTTAAATGTTTGGTGCAAAACTGCGTGGGAGTCTTCACGTGGCCCGAGACGAGGAGCTGTGTGAACATCACGGCAAGACCCAGGCTGTGGGGTTTTTGGGGGGTTCCCCCACACGTGCTGCATTAAGCTGGGTGCTTGGAGATAAGCAGAAGTGCCACCAGCAGCTGAGTTTCATATACTGGGAGGTTTAACAGTTTTGAGAGACTGACTGGTTTTCCTTACTCAATAATTAGCCCGTTCTTGTCCATGGTGCACGTGGCTCTGGTTTATCTGTTAAAAGAAGTGAACCTGCTCTGGCAGGGCTTGGACTAGATGATCTCCAGAGGTCCCTGCCAACCCCACAGCATTCTGTGTCCTGCAAATCTCTGTACAGAAACAAGTGTTTCGGAGAAGAGAGGAAAAAAAAACCCACCCAACTTCAAAACCAGAGTGGTTCTGCTCAGCTTCTGTGGAGCCAGGGCTTTTCTGGGGGTGGGTGTCCATGGCTGAGGGGGGTGGTTTTGATGCCTCCCTTGCACCCGTGCATCTCTGGTGCTAATGGACCCAACCTCCACCTTTGCCTCTTTTCCTTGCCTTCTGAAAAATGGCAGTTGTACCTCTGCTCGCTCCTGGATCACCTTTACTTCAAGGCAAGGTACATAAAAAGAGCAATAAGCATTAAATTGCCTAAGAAAAGTGGGCAACTGATTAAATTCCTGAAGAAAATAGCTATATACCACGTACTCATTGAGTGAGTGCTCCCTTTTAGCAGCAGGTTCCCTCCTGGAGCCCTGCAGGAGGAGGACTAAAGCCCAGCAGCTGACGTGGATGTGCATCGTTATTGCTAATTGCTGGTCAGAGCCCCAGCTCTTCTCCCCCCCGGCCCCAGTGTGAGGAAGCTCTTTCTCTTGTTGACTCCCAGCTGGAAGTGAAGCTTCTCGAAGCATCTTAATTGAGACCATCTGGAGGGTTCTTTGACGCTGGGGTGAACCAGGCTAATTTCCTTTTGATTTATTCCTTAATTGTCCTTGGCCATCAGAAAGCTCATGGCTCTGAGAACTTTTTCCAAGCTGTGGGTGTCCATGTAGCTCCTGCTGGAGATCTCCTCTGCTACAAGATGGCTTTTTCTTGAGGGAAGTTG